ATGGAGAGATTTGAAAGCAAGAACCAGAATTTTTAATTGAGCTCTATATTTTATAGGAAGCCAATGTAGAGACTGACAGAAGGGTGAGGCATGGGAGGTGCGGGCGGACAGGAAGATGAGCCTCGCCGTCGCATTAATTATGGACTGTAACGGTGCAAGTTGGGAGCACGTAAGACCACTGAGAAGCAACTCAAAGTACCAGGAAACATAATAAACTGTATATTAAAAAGCAAAATGTTACAAAAAATGGCAGAGTTTGAAGTCATTATTTAGTCCGTGGGGCACTAATGAATTCAACTTAAAGATACATTTCATCTCAGTCTGCCCCATTTTTCTAATCATATGTTCGCCTCTCCAAGCTAGCACTACTTTTTTAATCCAAATGCTGTACCTCTATTACTGGTGGTAACTGGTTTGCACTCAGTTTATTTATATTCACATATTTATTAGTGTGTGTTGTGAAGGACATACTCACACTTTGTGATAGCTGCTAACTTTAAAAATGTAAGTATATATAGTGTCTCTACACAGATCACTTTTTTGTTAATGTCTTTATTTTTAACTGTTTGTAGAAGGAGAATTCTTTTGGGGTAGGTAGTGTGTTCAGTCCAGTGTGTGATGTGCAAGTGCATGAGCACCATGCAGTGTGTTGTGTGCTGTGTTGTGTTTCTTAACCCCTTAGTGACCAGACCATTTTTCAATGTTCTTACCATTAAGGACCAGGGCTCTTTTAACATTTCTGCGGTGTTTGTGTTTAGCTGTAATTTTCCTTTTACTCATTTACTGTACCCACACATATTATATACAGTTTTTTTACACTATAAAATGATCATTCTAAAGATAATATCATATAATTTACTATAAAAACATTATAAAATATGATGAAAAAATTAAAAAAAACACAATTTTTGGAACTTTGACCCCAAAATCTGTTACCCATCTACAACCTTAAAAAAAAACCCACTCATGCTAAATAGTTTCTAAATTTTGTCCTGAGTTTAGAAATGCCCAATGTTAACATGTTCATAGCTTTTTTTGGAAAGTTATAGGGCTATAAGTACAAGTAGCACTTTACTATTTCGAAAACATTTTCTTCAAAATTAACGCAAGTTACATTGTAACACCGATATCTGCCAGGAATCCCTGAATAACCGTTCACATGTATATATTTTTAAAAGAAGATAACCTGAGGTATTAAACTTGGAGTATTTTGACTCTTTTCATGCAACTATTTTACCACCAATCTATGCCAAATAAAAAAAGAATATAATAATAATTAGAGATTTGTTTGACACACATAGCAATTAAAGAATACATGTACAGAGAACCATAAGGGTTACTGCCAATATGTGTTTAGCAACATCTCCTGAGTACAGCAATACCACCCATGTATATGTTTGTCGGATTCCCTTGGGGCTAAAAGACCTCATTTGGAGGGTGCACATTCCATTTTTCCAACTTGGAATTTTCTCAGCTGTTCATCATACACCCATGTCCTATTTGGGACATTTTTGAAGCCGGCCAATGTTATTTACCCCCATCAAACCATATATTTTTTTAAAAAGTAGACACCCTGGGATATTTTAAATGGCAGTATTTAAACACTTTCCATGCACTAATTCTACCACGAGTCTTTTTAAAAATTTTGGGTAGTCATTTTTTGTGTTATTTTTCTCTCACAGTGTACTTTATGCATGGATTCTAAGTTCCTGTTATGTGTTACTGACAAAGACCACCCCAACATGTGTTCAGCAACATCTCTTGAGTATAGTGATACCATCCATGTATTGGTGTGTAGGGTTCTATGGGGCTAAATACCTTTTTTTGGAGGTGTGCATTCCAGTTTCCCAACTTGGAATTTTTAGAGCTGGTCATCATGCACTCATGTCCTATTTGGGACATTTCTGAAGCCGGACAATGTAATTTTACCCCATCAACCATATATTTTTGAAAGGTAGACACCCTAGGGTATTTTAAATGGTGGTATTTTAACCAGTTATGTATTTTGGATTTGTGCTGCCCTAGGCAGGACGGTGCTCGGGCAACCCCCCCTAATTTTAATTTTCCCCACCCCTTCCTGTCAAGGCCGCACTTTGACTGACACACGCACACTCACTGACAGATGCACACTCGCTGACAGACACACACACTCATTGACAGACACGCACTCTCATAATCACTGATAAACAATGACACACACACTAACTGATTTGACACACAGATAGACAGACACACACTATTACTCAGACACACACTGACAGACTCACACTCACTGACAGACTCACTGACAGACGCACGCACTGACAGACGCACGCATGCATGCACTCACTGACCAACACACACACATTCATTGACCGACACGCTCTCACTGAAAGACGCAGTCACTGACAGACGCACGCACTCACTGACTGACACACACATTCACTGAGAGATACACACATTTACTCACAGACATACACACTTATAGACACACACACATTCACTCACAGACACACATTCACTTAGACATACACACATACACACAGACACACACACACACACAGACACACTTAGACACACACACATCCACTTAAAGACACATACACACTTTCACTTAGACACACACACTTACAGAAACACACGAACATTCACTCACAGACACACACACACACACACATTTCCACCAACACTCCCCTGCCTGGGCTGGCAGGCAGGGGGCGGACAGGCTCAGTAGGCAGCAAGGGAGCTCTAATCTTCCTGCTCAGCCCCCTCTCGTGCCAGGTACCTGTTTTAGCTCCCCTGACACCAGCCATGTGCGAGCTGTGTCGGCCACATGGTGCCCCCTGGTCCATGGCAGCCTGTGCGGTCGCACAGCTCGCATACCCCTAAGGCTGGCCCTGGATACAATATGCAAAAAGAGAAACAAAAAGGTGGTAAGATACACAAAATGATGGGTAAGAGGGGAAAAAAGGGGGATAATAGAAAGACAGGTGAAGATGAATTTTGGGGATGCAAAAATGCGTCTTCATTTGTTTAGACAAAAATACTTGCATCAGCCCTGGGCAGCAGCCTTGAGAAACAACATATTAATTAATGTTAAAACACATAGCAGGGTACAAGGAGCACTTGCAAGTCTTGGTTACGCAAATTGAAACACACTTTTTCTAAAAGCCATAGTAAAAAGTAAAAATGGAAAAAGGTACCAAAGTAAATGAAAATTAGATACACAGAAAAAAAAAGGGAACAATGAATAAGGGCAGGGAAAAAGTAAACACTACACAAAAAACAATGAGGGCAGCAGACCTTTCAAATTCACAGGAAATGTTATAAAGGTCACCAAAAGATCCAAAACACATATATGGTAATCTCTGTGTAGAATGCATCGCTCAAACCAAGGGGCACACGGCACTGTCACAAACTGGCTAAATATGGACCATCATTTTCAAAATAATCATTTAATCTGATAGTCTGTAATCAGAATAAGCATTTGCATTTACTCTTTTGAAATGTTTTGACATTCGGGCAATCTTTACCTCTGTATATATGTATATCTCTTATATTCTCCCTAATTTTGAACATCTGTGGCCCATGATTTAGATATTACACCAGGTACAGGTAAGGAGGTAAACAGTGTGTGGCATTACAACTGATCTAAGAAGAGAAAGACCAGATGGTCAAAGAAAATAGGGCGCCCCCTAATTAATTGCTATACAGGTGTGAACAACTAAAATTTTACTTTTAATAATTACTGCTTAAAGAATTCTGAAAAGAAAAAAATAAACATGATTTGGTTAAAATCAATATGGAAAGGTAAGGATAATTCTGTGTGGGGTATATGATTGAATTAATAAATACCCTCAAAAGAACCTTGAGGTGGAAAGAGAAGAAATAAAGAAGAACCCACTCAGACAGAGCTGCTAAGCTGCTCATAATATATAGATAGAAATCTCTCCTAATTGGGATATCACCATCCCAGGCTGATGCTTCAAAGAATATTCTATATTGAAATAAGTAGTAACAAATTCATGTTGTATAAACAGGAGAGAGAATTATGCCCATAAAGTGCACAGGGATAATTTACAAAGTAGCTAAATCGCTCGGTAATATTGGAGTCAGCACTGAATAGATACAAAGTATCTATAGCCTTTTCAGCTGTCAAACAGTTTGACCTCGGTGTGGGGTTGGCGTGATGAGGAAAGAGGAAGGAGCTAATCTCTCATACAGCGTGCAGAGTAGTATCGCTATAGTATCGCTATAGATGCGCCCACCCCAATAACGCCATCCCAAACACCCAATACAAGAAAAGGTAATTCTAGGCTGACTATCTAAGAATCTGTAGATACGAGCGCAGTCACCTAACCAGAATAACTAACTAGCTATCTAACACGTGTTTTGGCGCTGCTACACGCGCCTTCTTCCGAGACTATGCAAAAGTGCTCGGAGGTACCAGTGGCTCATTTATACCCCCGTTCCACCAATAGGTGTAGGGGGCGTGTATCTCATGGTTCGCGCCACATGTCCAGAGCCCGAGCTAGCCACGCCCCTATAAGTGACATTTCGTTATTGTCGATGAACACATCCATCTCTGCCAATCTCGTTTAACCCTAGATCTGCCATAAGTATACTCATAGGATCTCTCCCTCATAAGGAGAGTAGCTCACTGTGCTAGTACTTTCTTCAATTCAGATCTTGAAAAGTGGACATCTGGTCTTTCTCTTCTTTTTCCGAGTTACACATACAAGTAAGGGTTATCCCCTATTCTTGGACGCCCCAGATACACAACTGCTGGTTCCTCTAGGGGTATCTAGTGCAATATTACAACTGATCTACTGACAAATACCAATCTTTTGCCTTGTCTTAATGTCTTAACCATTACGAACAAAAAAAATAATTTTGGTTTATTTATTTTACAGGAAATGGCCGATAAACATCTAAATGGATTTTAAATCATGGTACTTCTGAAAAGGAAGCCACAGCATCCCAAAAACTTTAATAATATTTGATATAATAATTTAGAGCCAATGGAATATGTCAACAAAACTACAGTGAAAGAATTTATTCTTATGGCCTTTTCTAATTTCCATCAATTTCAGATGTTAATTTTCATCATAATCCTATTGATGTATATAATATGTGTAACCGGCAATCTTGTGATTATAGTATTAGTTAAAATTGGGCCGGATCTTCATACACCAATGTATTTTTTCATCAGTGTCTTCGCAGCTCTAGAAATTTCTTTTGTGTCTGTCACAGTTCCTAAACTATTAGCTAACCTTATCCTAGGCAGTAGAACAATCACGTTCATTGGCTGCTTTGTCCAGTTATTTACTTTCAATGCACTAGGGGTAACAGAATGTTATCTCCTTGCGGTCATGGCCTTCGATCGAAATTTGGCAATTAACAACCCATTAAGATATGGAGCCATTATGAGTCATACATTTTGCTTCAAGCTTGCATTTCTTCCTTGGATTGCAAGTTTTACAATTGTCTTAATTCCTACAATTCTAACAGCTGATCTTGATTATTGTGGACCCAATGAGCTCAACCACTTTTTCTGTGACTTGGCTCCAGTACAGAGCCTCTCATGTTCCAATCCCTTCATCAGTAATGTGGTCACAAGCATTGCATCAATTTTTGCAAGTCTTATGCCCTTTCTCCTCTTAATAGGATTCTATATTCATATCATCATCGCCATTTCATTGATTAAGAGTATGGATGGGAAAAAGAAAGCCTTTTCTACCTGTTCCTCACATCTCATGGTAGCCAGTATGTTTTATGGCTCAGTTGTTATTGTATATATAAAACCCAAAGGTAGCCAGTATGACAAGTTTATTTCCCTTATCTACACTGTCATCATTCCAACTCTGAACCCTTTTATCTACACTTTGAGGAACAAAGATGTCAAAATAGCTCTTACGAAATTAAAGCCTTCTCAATATTTCACGAATCCTTAAATAATCAGCATGGCCAAGCCAACTGTTCTTGTGTCTCCAATTTGTCTGAATTCTAAGTTATAACTTTACTATAATATATAATGGACATTATAAAATAGGCTCATGATCTTGGAAAGGTGACATATAAACACAAAAATTAGACAATATTTGTACTTAATGGAAAGAACGAAATAAAACATTTTACTTTAATGGCATACAGATTTTTGTTTGAACATTTTCTCTTTAACTGAAGCTTTATTTAGAATAGGAAATAGAGAGGACAGAAGGAAGAGGAGGAGAGAATGGAAGATGCAGCCAGGAGAGAAGGCAGACAAGGTTACCTCACTGGTGGGATGATCTGGTGAATGCAGTAATCTCAACTAGAAGAACCATGTATTCATTAAACATGTTTTATAAAAATAAAAAAAAAACTGCTTAGATTTTGCATGATAACGTTTCTCTGAATATTGTCTGTAATAATAGTAATGTATTTTTGTTCGTAACTATTAATAATATCAGAGTGAAATCTTTACAATATTATTATGTCATTAAATTAGATATAATCATCAATTAAGTAGGAAAACAACAATTTGGATGAAATGTTGGGAGAAGATTGATAAAGAGAGTTTGTTTTTTTTCTCTCTCTATATGAGGCTTGATGGAAACAGAGGGAAAGAAAGAAAAAGAAAAAAATTTTCCCTACATAAATTTAAAGTGAAACTGAGATTGACTGTTAATGCTTTGGACAGTATAATATATGATATAAGACACAAAATATACATCTTTACTCGATAGGTTTCTTCCCTTCTCTCTTGCTGCACTGTCTTGTTTATGTAGATGTGTAAGTCTAAAGTATTGTTTGTTCTTGGTTAATTGAAACGTATAAGAAACATCTTATGGATGAATATTTCAAATAGGAAAATCGTTTCTTTACCATTTGTATGTAACTGTTGTATTGTATTGTCTTTTTTTATGGAAAAAAAAAAAAAAGGGGGGGAACCCTTTAAATAAAGATTATATTAAAAAAAAAAAAATAGATATAATCATTAACATTCTACTTTTTATTTATCTTTTCTGTTCTAAATATTTTTTTCTCTTATACCCTGGACTAGTATTTGGTCTATGTGAGCGTGTTTATGATTTGATATGTTCATACCTGTATAGTGGGAGATTCTGTTCACCATCTTTCCCCAAATAAATGTAATAAACTGATGTTGGGATGCTAAAACAGATATGCTTCATCCTCAATCCGATGAAACTCAGGAATTCCATACTGCCCTCTCTCCTTCACTCATTTCCAAGTCATATGGTCACATTCTCTCCATTAAACCCCAGACATAATGTCCTCCCTACTAGTGAGACAGGGAGCTGCTATGCCTGGTCATAGAGGCAGAACTAAGCACCGTATCCCAGCCATCTTTACTCTCTGAACTATGTGAACAGCTTTCTGAAAGATTGGCCAGAGGATAAGGGAGAACAGGTATAATAGCTTTGCGAGGTAATACAAAAAAATGAGAGGTTAGGGGTGTTGCTCTGTGTCCCTCATTCATCAAGTTTATGTACACAGTAAGGGTATGCACCTACATCAATGGAAAAAAGTGCAGCCAGTGGGGGAAGTTCCATTCTTTAGTATCTTTAATTAGATTTATGGTCCGGATCTGGACTCCAAGCTGACATCTATGAAAAGTGTTGCATGTTTCATTATTAATAGTGTTATCGTCATTTACTTACCTTCCATCAATTAAATCATCTTCCCTTCATAAAAAATCTTTACACCGTCTGTTACGGTTGCCTCCATGCTGGCTGAAAGTTGGACCGTAGAAAGGATGCTCCTAGCACTCACCAAAGGACCATCAGCACCGTAGACACCATCAGTACTGCGTAGAGCACCATAAGTACTGCAGACTCAACGAACCACCGCTGCTGGGCTAGGATCTCGCCGTCTGCTATCCACCCTGGACCTACGACCAGGCTCCAGGTTCCAGTAGGTGAACCTCTTCCTTCTGTAGAGCGAAGCAGGAACAGGAACAAGAGCTCTTACAAGAGCTCAGTAGTTAAGGGAGTATGAAGGGCATAGCAATCCCTGTAGTGATTATAGCTGTCCCCTACAAACATGAGTCAAGGCTGCAAGTAAGAGGGTCAAGTCATTCTGTTTATTGGCACACAAAGAACCTTCTTTTATGCAGGTTTCCCTGAGATAGGACCACCCACAGGGTTTTACACAACAACCAATAATAAACGTACATTACAGAAACACTCCCAGCAATTACACACAAAAATCCTCCCCTCTGCCTGTGATCTAATTATGGTACACAATGGGTTAACATAATTAAACACAGGCAGTAAAAATACAGTTTTTACCCATACCCTGTAACTTTAAAACCATACATCCAATCTTCATACAAATTACATATTTAGAATCAATCCATTCAGCGGAGCAACATATTAAAAAATGGCACAAATCAGACAAGGGGTTCAAAAGTTAGCAAAAGTATCTTTTGGGGCCTGGCTGGCAGCATGGTTATCTGGCCCAAACTGGTTTTACAGAGCCCTCTATCCAGGAGACAATGGGGAAAATAATCCACTTATATCCAGGGATAGAGGCAGACTCCATTAACCACATGTTAGCAAAAGACACAAAAAGACACAAAAATACATAACTCCTATCATACTGAACAGAACCCCCACATTCAACCTATCCCCAGATGGCTTGGATCTGAGCGCTCAATATATCCAAACAGCGCTCAGATCCCACAAATACAGTCAAATCGCCATACACACTAGGTCCATAGTCATGGGGCAGAAGGCTGGCAATTAGGCTTCTCCATAACACAGGGAAGCAGGGCAATTTGTCAAATAAAATAACAGTTACAAATGGCAGTCTGTAACACCGTCCATCCTACTTCTTTCTCAATCATAACATTCTGTATAGTCTATTAATTCTACCCGCCCTCTTTACATTGTCTTAATCATCAGGAGCCATTCCTTTATTCGGGATCACCACTCTCAAAATCCCATTGTCCCCATTTTTCAGTTATACGGTACATGTCTTTGCCTTTCCCAGTTATAATGCCACTTTCTTCTGTCCTATAATTTATTGACGAATTGCATTCCCTTCTGGTCATAACATTTTATTTCTCTCCAGCCTGTCTGCCTTGTCTTTCTGCATATTCATTAATTCCGTCCGTCATTCCATCTATCTATGTCAATGAGTAAAACAAGCATTTGATCCCCTATGAATCAGCAAGATTTCTGGCGCCCAGGTGTTTTTTGTAAGGGTAAGGAGCTTAAAGGGAGTGCTCCTAATCCCAGCTCATTACCTGTACAAAAAACATCTGGGAGCCAGAAATGTTGCTGATTGATAGGGGATCAAAAGCTTATTTTGCATGAACGCAGGCAGTGGTGTTTGGGCATGAATCTCATGGAACTAAAATCAGACACAGAAACTCCTGGACTTCCCTCATCACCTGCATTCCTTTCTATACAATTTAGGAGTCCACTGTTTGGTGAAATAATTTGTCTGGATGAGGGGAACAAGCTCCAAGGTAAAATATGTGTTTTTTCTGCCTGGAGATAATTCAGTTAATACAGTATCTGACTCAATTATCTCCCAGGCAGAGGGGAGGGATTGTGTGCTGTGTGTGGCAGTGTCGTGCTTTGTCTCCTTATTGGTATTGGTCTGTGACATTGTAAATCCGTCTACCATCAGGTCCATGTGGGCGAACCCCATGCATGGGGATTGTCAGACAAGGCCAAGTTTGGCACCATTAAAATCAGTTCATCTTCACCCTGAACATTGAGCCTCGTCTCATGTGTGGAGGAGACAGCTTTAGTCACTTTGGGTTCTAATCACTAGCTCATATAAGAGTTGTTCCTGCGATACTCTCTGGAGTTGGAGAAGTTCTTCCACTGGAAGCTGGATGCAGGGTGGGTGGAGGATGGCGAGACCCCAGCCAAGCTGCAGCAGCTATAGGGCTACAGTGCTTATGGTGTCTGGTGGAGTGCTTGGAGTCATTGGTGAGCACTGACTGGGGTGCCAGGCAGTTCGTCACACTGTTCAAGGATGTCAGAGCTAAGTTTGTAGTTGGTGCGATTTTTGGAAGAAACACATAATAACTGTCAGTCTCCTTTGGTCTGGTGCTCCATGCAATATTTCACTTCATGGAGTTTTAATGATCATGAGAACATTGAGGAATCAGCCTAGAACTACACAGGGATCTTGTTAATGATTTCAAGGCAGCTGGGACCATAATCACCAAGAAAGTTGCCAAACGTCAGCCTTGAAACCTTAATGACTTGGAGAGGATCTGCAAAAAGGAGTGGGACAAATCCCTCTTGAGATGTGTGCAAACCTGGTGGCCAACTACAAGAAATGTCTTACCTCTGTGATTGCAAACAAGCGTTTTGCCTCCAAGTAGTAAGTCGAAGGGGTCAAATACTTATTTCACTCATAGACATGCAAATCAATTTATAACTTTTTTTAAATTTGTTTTTCTGGATTTTTTTCTTATTCTGTCTCTCACTGTTAAAATATGCCTACCATTCAAAACATAGGAAATGTAGATCACACTATTGGGGGGGAGGCATGATAACGTAGGATGCCGGTGGGAGGAGCGTTCAAGGTTTTGGTGGGGCGTCTCGACACCGCATCTTGGGTAGAAAGCTGAGCAAGGAAGGCAAGAGAAGGTGAGATGGCCACGACAAGGCGAGACGGCAGTGAAAGCCGGTTCTGGGCTGTGAGAGCAGTTGAAGTCCAAGGAGAGTGGAGCCTATGTTATATAAGTCGAGTTGATATCGGATGAACTGAAAGGGGAAGCCAGAGAAAACAAGTGGAAAGCGTGGTCATTGGAGGTAGGAGGGCTGCAATATTGCTGAAACCCTTTTCATACTGTCTTTCTCCTCTTCCTTGTGATACTAACAAAAGTTGGTGAGATATTTTGTTGGAAGAAAAATATGACAAGAATGCTTGGCAGCTATAATACTGAATGCATGTAAATTAAAAAACTGATGAGCTACAGTATAAACTGCAAGAGCTTTAACATACTGGGAGAAAGAAAAGAAAGAAAAAGGGAAAGAAAGAGAAAAAAAGAGAGGGACATATCCACTGAGTGGAATCCTGGTTTATAATCTATGCTAATATCACCTGTGTACGTTTGTGTGCATATAACAACATGGCAACTAAAAAAGCTGACCATATTTTAAAAAAAGATGCAGATTCTAAAAATGAGAAAAAGATTTCCATAATTTCTCAAGGAATTAAAAGAACACATATAACAAGCAATATTTCATTGGAGCAGTAGAGAGCGGATAGACTCTCTAATGAGCAAAAGA